AATGAATTTTTGAGGAAGGCAAATGGATGGGAAGACTTTGCGTGTTGGTCAGAAGGGGGATAAGATGAGGTGGAGGGGGATGAGAGGGGATGAGGGTGGTCATGGTAACCAAATGGATCTGGATGGAAATATGGAAAAGGAGGGGAATGGAGGCACGCTAATATCCGCCCATAGTAGCCCCGGAATATAAGACGGCGATTATCCCCGGTTGGATTTAGCTGGTCATCTCGCGGACAAAGCAATCAAATGGAAAATATTTGTCCACGAGAAAAGTACTGTAATGACGTCAAAAACGGAAATAATTGTATTCAAGGTGACGAAGCCATAAAGGAACATGGAAAACATTAACTAGACCATCCACATAGAGTTTCCGGTTTTTCACCGGCGAAAATCAAATTTATGGTTGGTCCCCCTACCGGGGATCCTGGCCCTCCCCCACAATTCGTTTTGATTTGATGAGGAGTATTCCTAGGGGGGGGAAGAATTTTATATAGTAGATTTTGTAGAAATAACATAAAAAGCTCCCAAAAACGGGCTTTATTCTTCTACGACTACCTGTGAAGTATTGTGGTTACCCTAGCATTTTCCGTGCCAATTTTTCGCACATTAGCTGCTTTAAATAGCTCGTTTTCTAAAAAATGTCTTGTGGCGCCAACTTAGCGCGGGCGATCATAATTTGCTAACTAACAGGCTAGAACGCCTTGAAAAATGTGACTAAATGAATAATACTGCTTTTTTCAATAATAGCTCCTTTAATTTTGCGATTATTTAGCGCAAAAACACTAAAAAAGTGTCAAACGTGCCAAAATAGGTTCGAAAATCCGATCAATTTCTTAGATGGCAGCCAGCCTACCGTATCTGTAATTTTCCAGACGCAAAAATACTGAGAATTCGCAAAAAGTCCAGAATTGTAGTCAAAATCGGGCCATGTGTGAGGGGTGCCCGACTTATCCTCTGTGTGTCTGCTTGTCTGCCCTCTAGTCCTTCTGTTGCTCTTTCCCTTCCCCCATTCCCCTTATGGCTAAACAACAACCGCCATGGGTAATTCGCATCCAAAAATAGACAAAATGCCTCGCTCTCATTAGAAACGCAAGAAAAATGGAGCTGACTACATTTTTCAAAAACGCGTGATTGGCCCTGGAATGTTGACATCTTTTTGAAAAATGCCTGTTGAAGACGGTCACGTTTTCAGAAGATTTATTCCAGAAAACAAAGATGTGGCGATCGAAACGATAGAACAATTGCCAAGCTTCCAATAATCAGGTACAAAAACACGCGATAATCAGGTAGATCAAAAAGTTAGGTGTCCTGACCCGGTATCGCCCGTCGATGGAATTCAATGACGGAATTTTCCGTCTCGAGTACTGAACGGAAGCTTATAAGGAGTTCTTTTTTTGAGTCATACGCAAATCATTTCCAAAGATAGTGCATTCGATAGAAAATTTCATTCTGAGTAACGCTATAAGGTTCATTTTTGCAGAATGGCTGTCCCTGATTTTATAAAATTAAAACACTAAATCGGTGTTTTCCTCAATCCCTCGGCGCGCACCGATGCCAGGCATGTCCAGCCACCTGAACAAGAGGGGCCAAGATGGCTTCCCAACCACGATTGACGAAAGCGCAGTCGCTAGCGCGATTGTCTTTGAAACTTTTTCTGGACTTCTCCGGGAGGTTCGATTCTTCCAAATGTAATTTCTTTTTGCTTTTTTATGGTCAACCAGGGTTGAAAAGCCGCTTTGCGACTTTTCAACCCTGGCCCCGTCTGAACCGATTTTATCTTTCACTTTGCATACTTGTCCTGAATTCAGATGGCAAAAAATGAAAATTGACTTTTTCTGCCGCTTTATATAGTCGCGGCCCCACTTCCGGTCTATGCTAATTGTTTTTACCGAAGAAGTTTTCACAAAAACCTAAATTTAATGTCGAAAATCGCTGAATTTGTAAAATCTGATGTGTATGCAGTCATCCCAAGACCATTGCGCACCTAAGGACGTATCATACGTACTTTAAAATCCATCCCCTATCAAGATATCCTCCGGACAGACAGACGGAAGTGGATGCAAAGTGGCACACACACACACACAAACACTATTTTTTATATTATGGTCAATTGCGTTTCCGTACATGGGGATGTAAGTGTTGCGATTTTGAGTTGGCAATTGATTCAAAGTTGATCAAAGTGAAGTCTCCAGGCCCGAGCCTTGTCACTGTTCACCGGGATTTCACTATAGTCGTGCCTGCCCATAGAGCGGATTCCATGGTCATTAAAGCCAAAAAGCCATTCACCGCTATGAAAATTCAAAAAAAGCAAAAGAAATTACACGTGGAAGAATCGAACCTCTGCCAGAGAAGTCCAAAAAGTCAGAGGCAACCGCACTACCGACTGCGCTATCGTCAATCGTGGTTGGGAAGCCATCTAGGCCCCTCTTGTTCAGGTGGCTGGACATGACTGGCATTTAGTGTTTTAATGCTATAAAATCGGGGACAGCCATTCTGCAAAAATGAACCTTATGACGTTACTCAGAATGAAATTCTCTATCGAATGCACTATCTTTGGAAATGATTTGCGTATGACTCAAAAAAAGCACTCCTTATTAGATGTGCTAGACGATCACTGGATCGAGCACTAAACTTCTTCCTCTAAAGAGGACCGGACGCAATACCACTGTGATGCTTATGTAGAGAGTTTTTGTACATAATTCGAAAAGAGAAGAGGCACGTAGCTTGAAACTTTGCCTGCTGCTTGCTTTGCCAGCTACCGCTCCCACTTTTAATAGAATCGGCTCGGTGAAAAATATTTCACATATTTTTTTTCAAGAGCCATATTTATTTGCCACTGGTCCACTGTGCAGTCCACTGCAGCTCTGCTACACGATACAGAAACAATAGCGCCGTTTAACGCTTAGGCTACGCTCACATGATTCTTATCGCTGCAAATTTCTGCGATCCTGTGGCCCTTTCACCTTTGCAAAATCGGCTTGCCATGCCTCTTCAGCCTATAGTGGGGATTGTCATCACCTGTGTAGGGCTTATCAGGATTTGATAGCGCCAATACTCTTGCGACCGAAAATTCGCAAAGACGCCAAAGCTCTACGGATTGTGCAAAACACACTTATCAATAAAATGGATTATAAAAGCGATGGGCTTATGCGTTTAACTAATTTTTAGGCATGTCCAAAACTTTAGCTTGGAGAGCCGCACCCCCAGCGCCCAAGGTTTTCTTGATTAGGATTCAAATTAGAGCGATCTCAAGGGACCGGACAGTTGCATAAGAGGAAAACGGATAGCGCACGAACTGTGTAGGGATACGATATAACCTGACTCAAAAGCTGCCTATCCCATTTCAGTTGCTCTCGATTTCCCGGTTCTCCCTTTGGCATCAACGTTTTTGCCACGGCCATTTGCGTCAAAAATCCGCACCTGAACTCTTCGCAACAAAACAGCGCCAATCATTTTTACAAGTGTACGAAAACGCAGGCTATTGCCGCTATCTAATGTCATAAAACACTTGGCACCAGCTTTTTACTGAAAGCTCCGTAATACAGGTTACCAGGACGCCCAATGAGGCCTAATCCTGATGCTCAGTGCAGGTTCTGCGCCTGCTGACTTTCCATAGCTCTTTTTTTCAAAGGTACATTTGTTTTCGTTTTCGCTTGCACTGGCTATTAATAGTTAAAGTTTGGTTTTAGAATAAAAACAGAGAACAAGATCAAGCTGAGTAAATTGTATTGAAGAATGGCTTCTAAGCTAACGACAAACTCCGGGCGGAAATCATTTGTGAGTTTCGGGCGTCCCAAATTCCCAAAAGAGCATGAGATCTTCTCCTGAATTTGAATGGGTAACCCCGTTGATGTCGTTTCATGCAGCAATAACTTCATAGCATTCGCACCACACACACCTAGCATTATGCGCATCCGACAGTGTTTCTGCAAATTATCTCACTTTCAGCTGCAAAAATTCTACAGCTTATTCGCGCCAAGAACCATACGCGGTTCGGAGCTAGGAAGCGCTGGCGAAATGCCGGAAAAGCGCCTGATTACGAATTTCGAACCACTAATGGCTTGCACAAGAAGAAACCGCCTGGCACAAAAAAAATCGCCGAGCCTGATGGCTTATCAGTATTAAATTCTGTTGCAGCAAACATTCCGAAAAACGGAGCGCCGATAGAATCGGTTGCCGTCAGTTCATTCCCAGCACCTTCCAAAAAGCTGTATTTCGGTTTGCTCTCTTTGGCAAGAGCTTCAGTTCGTCTTCTAGATGTGTTAAGCTTCAAATTTCAAAAATACTCTGTTTTGCATTGTTTGGGTTCATTTATGATGCGTTTTGCGCACAAATGGTATATTCTAGAAAATAGGTGTCTGACCGCATGATCAAAAATGATCAAAAATGCATCGATGCAGAAAAGAAGGGCGCATGCCTGCGGTCGAACCCATCAGTTCGAAACCTGGCAAAAACTACTTTTGATACGCAATATACATAGGTTCCGGCCATTTCCGTGCTTCGCAATGTATTAGAAAAATGATTAGGAAATCGGAAAAATTAGAACTAGTCATCAAATAAAGGCTCCGGGGGTCTGGGTTACGAACGATATGCCAAGGAGTTCAACTACAGGGTGTCCCCAAAAAAACGAACCATCTGGCATTCAAAAACAAAAACAAAAAAGGCCGCAGGCTTCAAAAACTGAAGGGTTATTAATTAAACGAAAATCTGGTTCCTAGACGGGGCCAGTGGAAAAGGTCCGCGAAACGGTCATTTTCCACTGGTTTCGTGAACTCAGAACCACGATAGCTAAAGGATTATAAGTCAGGATTGTTGTTATTTAGCGTCTGAGAAACGTCTGGTCCAAATTTTGGGCCGATTGGATGGAAGGCGGCGAAATTCCAGATGGGTCGTTTTTTGGGACACTCTGTATATTACCTTCTATAGTCGATTTTGTTGTGTTTTTTATGATTTTCTTGTTCAATTTCTTGAAAATTGAAAAACTTTTAGAAAAAAAACAAATGAAGGCTGTTGGAGAACGAGGCGGATCGAGACAGCCGACTATCAGATCCACATTGTGCCTTCTCGCGCGGCAGATTTTTGTAAGCTTCGCCCACATTTGAGCTGAAACTGACTTCTGGAAGGCACTGCTACCTGAAGTTGGAATTTTCCTGCGTCGGCGTTTTTGTTGGCCCGAATTGCAAAAAAGAATTTCGGCTATCTCTCCTAAAAACATCATTTTTCTTAACGCCTCTCACGAAATTCTTTGACCCTTTATGAAATTGGTGTTTCTGGCCACAACCGACTAGAAGGGGTCAATCTGTGATCCCTTTTAGCATGACTTCGTCCTACCGATATATGGCGCCGTATTAAACCTGTTCGGATTGGGCGTGGCGAATTGTCAAGAAAGCGATGATGAAACGCAGGAAAACGACAGCAACGGTAATTTCTGCTTACCGCATATTGCAAAGCTCGCTTATGAAATCGATTTATTAATGGAAGCGCGGATGATTACCTATCACTACCCAAAATCAATACCCCGAAAAACAACATGCCGAAAGTTCATTATCCCGAAGGCTCCTCATTCCGAAAGTTCATTATTTTCGAGATATCGATTTTTGATATACTGACAGATTGCTCCCGAGGGCGTCAACCCGAGGGAATCAATAAGATCTTTAGCAGAACCTCTTTCAAAACCTCTTCAATTCTAGACGCACATCCGCGACGTCCGCCAACTGTCGAGCATGTCTCTCGGCGAAGCTCGAAGAACCGAAGCCAGATAAAGAATACGGCTGGCAGGGGTCAGACGCGTTTTCTCAAATAATTGCTTTCAGCGAAGGCGACCTCAGCCGTGGCCGTCCGGATCCTCAAAACCCAGGATGAAGGCGCGGAAGACCGATTCCACTTCAACGAAGGAACGCTCTCAGCGATACTGTGTGACAAAAAATACGCCGATAAAAAGGTGGGGTGTAGGTTTGGCATTAGGCGCTGGTAGCTCAATTTTTCTTGGAGATATCTTTCTTTTTCTTTTTCTTTCTTGGTTTGTAGAGTTTCGATTTTTTAGGTTTCGGTGATAAGCATTGCCGGAGCATTCCGACAAGGAAAATCATTCATGCTGAATTTCTTCATGCGCTATTTGTTAGCAGTTGAACGAAATAGGGGTAGTTAAAGTTTATCGGATCAAAATAAAAAAAACTCGCTAGGAAAGGAAGACGTTAACTGGCTGGAGTCTGTGGATCCACTAGATGCCTTCTTCTCCTGGCGGAATGGCCCCGAAGGCGAAACAAACGGCATACACATTTGTCGGCCGTTCGTCTTGAGGGATTTTTACGGAGAAGAGGTTTAAATCGATTTTTTTAGAATAGCGAGTTTTTATTAAGTACGTGGTTATTCTGATGGACACCCAGGGTGCTTTCGATAATACAGCAACATTTGGCGACTGCACGACAATTTTTGCGCTGTCTACTTTGGTTAGCTCGGTTCAGGTAAACGGAAAATCAAATTGATGCTAATAACATCGTAGATTTACAATCTTATGAGAACGATCGGAGAAAACGATCTCCAACATCTTCAATACTTTGCCGAATTCGGACGTATGACCGCCGGGAAAGCGTCGAATCCAGGAAAAGAGGCGAAAGCAGATCTGAATAACGGCGCTAAGGCCCCATTCCAGGTGCTTTTTGCTCGTTCAATTAGATATTTTTGGATCAAAACAGCGCTAAACCCTCACAAGCTTTTTGCTATAAAGGGTATCCCAATAAAAAAACACCCGCATCTAACCTGATGTAGAAGTAGCGGATTGGAATGATAGATGGATGACCAATCAAAAACCCTCGTAGGGCGAGTTTGTAACAACGTTCAAAACCATGTTCGTATTTAAATTTTCTATTTAACAACGCATTTCAAAAGATTGAGAAACCTTCTCTGCATCTAGTTAACGGCCACTTCCGGTCATTTTGCGTCAGGATTTTGAGGCAAATTAACTCGTACCCAACCCCGAAAAACTGGAAAGTCCTACAAAATACAGTCCAAGAATATATAAATACAAAAATAAGTACAAGTCCTCCCCCAGACGCCGCTTACTACGCCACCAGGCCACCAGACCGCGGTGGAGGGGGGCATGGGGGGGGCTTATGAAGGTCTGTCAAGAACTTTAGACGCTTATAAAAATTTTTTAAATTGCGTAGCTGCTGCTAAAAGTTACATCAATCGATTTGTCTTGGCGAGATCTAGGAAATGAGCCATTTGCTAAACGAAATTCGATGGCGAGAGGAACCCGTGCTCGCTTGCCAGGCGCAAGGTTCGGGTTCGACCCCTCCCTGCGACTTGGCTTGTTGCTTTTTCATCAAAAGCTCTGGGTTGAAAGTTTCGTAAGTAGATCGCTGTACAACTGTTCGGGACGTAACATTTACAGACACTAACATTTCTGGTCCGTGACTGGAGTTCCCCGCATAAATACCCCTACGGATACGACGGCGGTCAAAAGTACCTGGACTGGGTGATGCAAGTATGTCATTGATTATCGTGGTTACGCAATGGTTGTGCTATAGGTTCGCCCTCAGCAACATGAGGAGTTGAAGGGCGTGCGAAACCACATTCGCAACTGTTTCTTTGAAATGTCCTGTTTCTTGATGCCTAATCCAGGCCGAATTGTTGACGAGAGTCCTGACTTTCATGGCGATTTGGAAGGTGGGTATGGACATGTCGAGCGAATGACATGACATGACATGGTAAAATTGTTATGACTGCCAATCAGGAGCCGAGGTTTAGGGGGCGGGGGGGGGCACCCAAAACTTTTGGTTTTTGGGGGGGCACCGTGCCGCCGGCCACCGTGCGCCCCTTGTACGGGCCTGCTAACACTTCTGATCTCGAAAAAGAATTTATCTCCAAGTGTTAATATCGAAGTTTCCGGATGTTTCGCGTTTCGAAACGATTCAAGGAAAATTGATTCGGGGGCTCCAGACTTTCAGGATAATTCCAGACATAACATAACTAACGAATTTCAAGCATGTGGTGATGACTAGGGTAAACAATATTATGTACACTTTCAGTTGTCGAAGGGAAATTCAAGAAATCGCTTCTCGAACTTATCCCAAGTGTCGTGGGTAATGGCAATCATGTTTTGAAAAAGATTAATGGGCGAGAAGTGACGTGCGAAGAACTATTCTTTTACTTCAAGGCTTACATCACAGTTTTTCGAGACGGAAGCTTACCTACGCCGTCAACTATGCTGATCGTAAGTGTGGGACGATTTCTGAAGGCTGACTAAATCCGTTGATAGCTTCATTCTGCACACGTAATGTGTAATTTTGTAGCGCCCAGGCTGGACTGTTTCGGGTGGCGGGTTCTGGCTCTCCAAAATCAACTCACAAGGAGTGTTTTTTAGGTGACCTGGGAGTTTTTCGATGTGAAACAGCTCATTCGATAGAGCTTGAAATTCTGAACAGATCCCATCTTTAGAGGTACATTCCGCTATCATGCTGAAGCCCTAGTTGGCGTCGGGAATTCGGCTGCCCGGCGGCGGCCCACAGAGACCCTTCAAAGCCCCTCTCCCTCTTCCCTCTCTCGTCCCTCCTATGGCCGAGTGGTCTATGGCGCTTGCCCCAGGCGAGTGGTCCGGGTTCGGTTTGCCGAACGTTTAGCACCTACCATAACCTGGCGTGCTAAAGTGTTGACCATTTCAACATCCTGAAATTATCAACGAGAGCGGAATCCTACTACTACACTCTGTCAAATAACTATAGAATCAAGCGTTTTTTGCCTGTAACTTTCTTTCTATTGATCGGTTCGACTCGAAAATATGAGTGCAGCCCTTCTTTGATAGCAGAAAACTGTGTGCAAAGTTTCGAGGAGAACCGATTTGTGGAAGGTACGAATCCGGAAAACTTCGTTCTGAACTTTGTCAAAAAACTATAGAATCACTTTTGAAGGGCACGTTCAGGGACGTTTTTTTTTTTGGAAAAAAAGCAAAGATTTTTGCCGTGGCCGGGGTCGAACCCGGGCCCCCCGCTCGGGAGGCGCGGATGCATACCAGTCAGCCACAGCTACAACCTGGCGAGGGGGCGAGAGGCGCCCCACGCCGCAAAGGAGGGGAATGGCCTGTCACAGCACGGGCAGGCAATGCGCGCGGTCCCAACGTCCATAGGGTGTACACGTTGGGACGAGTACACGGCCCCTCCCTGAACGTGCCCTTTAAATCACCGATTTTTCTACCCGTTTATCTTTTCCGATCATTTTTTTTCCAACGCGCATACATTTCTTTACACATGAAATATACTTTTGATTGAATAGTTTGGGCATCCAAGCTCAGGATAGGATTTTCCAGAACTGAATTTAACAAAGAAATTCACATTTTTCTAAAATTCTGACAAGAAACAACTATGGAAAAATATGTCACTTTGCCTACTGAAAGAGCAGGCCAAGGTACGCATTTGTTTATTGGAACCTACCCTCTATTTACGAACGTTCGTCCTCTACGGTCACTTTAGTGTTTGGCCGCGGCTCTCAAGGTATTTTCCTGACCATTTAACAATGGAAACGTGGCGTCGACGGTTCGACAGAGCATATCTTTGCCGTCAGGCTGTTTCCCGGAAAACGAAACGCACCTATGTACTCGCTGTCAAATGCGCATTCCGAGGTACAATCAACATTTAGGAAATACAATTTTGATACGGCAGAATTTTAGAAAAATGTGGATTTCTTTGTTAAATTCAGTTTTTGGAAAATCCTGTTCTGAGCTTGGACGCCCAAACTATTCAATCAAAAAATATATTTCATGTGTAAAGAAATGTATGCGCGTTGGAAAAAAATGATCGGAAAAGATAAACGGGTAGAAAAATCGGTGATTTAAAAGTGATTCTATAGTTTTTTGACAAAGTTCAGAACGAAGCTTTCCGGATTCGTACCTTCCACAAATCGGTTCTCCTCCAAACTTTGCACACAGTTTTCTGCTATCAGAGAAGGGCTGCACTAATATTTTCGAGTAGGACCGATCAATAGAAAGAAAGTTACGCGCAAAAAACGCTTGATTCTATAGTTATTTGACAGAGTGTATATACAGGGTGTCCCAATAAAAAAGGTCACGCTGGCATTTTGTCATTTCAAATCCGATCGACTTGAAATTTTCAACAGAGCTGCGGAAGGGAATTCAAAATGTTCACAGAAACTTTCAGCCCGATCGGTACGGTAGTTTTCGAGTTATAGCAAAAATAAACTTTATTTTACGTTTTTAACCTGGATTTCGCCGGAATTGAGTCTTGGAATGTATCGCAAAAATGAAGCGCCGACCCTTTTTTACCTCAGAAAATTTTTTATTTCATAAAATTCGTCTTGGAAATAGGTTGTTTAAGTAATTTTAACAAAGTGGGATCATCCCCGATGTTAAGAAGAATGAGGGATTTAGGGCCAAAATTGATGTTAATTGATGCACAGTTCAAAAAGATAGCCGAAAAAATGAAGCAAAAGTGTTGAAAAAACAGTATTTTTGCTATAACTCGAAAACTACTGTACCGATCGGGCTGAAAGTTTCTGTCAACATTTGAAATTACCTTCCGCAGCTCTGTTCCAAATTTCGGGTCGAACAGATTTGAAATGGCGGAATGCCAGCGTGACCTTTTTTATTGGGACACCCTGTATATAAAAAAATAGTGGGGGGGGGGGGGGGGGGGGGGGGGGGGGGGGGGGGGGGGGGGGTGTGTGTGTGTGTGTGTGTGTGTGTGTGTGTGTGTGTGTGTGTGTGTGTGTGTGTGTGTGTGTGTGTGTGTGTGTGTGTGTGTGTGTGTGTGTGTGTGTGTGTGTGTGTGTGTGTGTGTGTGTGTGTGTGTGTGTGTGTGTGTGTGTGTGTGTGTGTGTGTGTGTGTGTGTGTGTGTGTGTGTGTGTGTGTGTGTGTGTATGCATGCAACTTCCGTTAGCGTGTCCGGAGGATTTCTCAAGAGGGGAGGGGTGTAAGAAGATGTTTGATACATCATTTGATGCGTAATGGTCTCGAGATGACTGCACACATATCAGATTTTATAAAATATGTTGTTTTCGACATTAAAATTAGGTTTTTCGTAAAAAATCGGTCACCCACTTTATTAGGAGAAAATTAGCATACGCCGGAAGTTGCAGTAGCCTATATAAAGGCCCAAAGAAAGCATTTTTCATTTTTTTGCCATCGGAATTGGGCACAATTATGCAAAATAAAGAACATCATAGGATTAGACGGGGGGCCAGGGTTGAAAAGTCGCGAAGCGGCTTTTCAACCCTGGTGTCCCTTTAAAAAACTATTGTACGCTAACGGTCTTTGAGAAGCGGTTCCTCAAAGTTCGCCTTTTGCTAATAAGTGCAGGCTAAGACAATCCGGCCCTTCAGAGCGGATTCCCTCATAAAAACCGTGTTCGTTCCGCAGTTTTTGAAAGATCGGAATTGTTCAGAATTCAAAACTCTAAAGAATGAGGGATGTCACATTGCACAACTCCAAAATCACCTAAAAACCTCCTTGTGAGTTGATTTTGGAGGAATTTCAGCAAATTTGAAAAACCCGACCTTGTTTAGAACTTATTTCTCTATTAAATGAGCTATCTTTCATTACCAAACTGGGATGTCAAAAAACGTCTGCTTGTGAAAAGGAGAGCCCGGTAACAGGCCATAGAAGTTTTGGAAAGTTTACGCAAAGTGTTTTAGCGAGTGATCCCGGCATACAGGGTGGCTAGAAAGTATTTGCCGCAGGGAAAGCTCCTTAAGAAATTCTCCGTGTCCGACTTCTTTGCCATTTTATAACCAAAATGTAGCAAACAGACCCCTCTTTACGACTATCAAAAAGACTAACACCCTAGACCTCAGATTTTTAAGATACGGTCCTTTAGAGGTGTATCCAAACATGGGCCTGCGCCGCACGTATTTTGACTTTAGTGTTAATCTTTTCAATTTTTGCTTGCAACCAATCAGAACAGAAATTTGGATTTTTGTTTATTGCAAGGCCCCTGATTGGACGTATCAACCAGAAAAATTCGTTTTAGCCGTATCGAAAAGCTTTTCGCTATTTTCTTGAGCGCCTAAAATGAGCGGAACAAGGTGTTTTTGGAGCACAAATACAAAATGTCTTAAACAACCACGTTTTTATGCGGAAAATATTATTTCTGTTGTGAACGCAATAAAACCAACCGCGTGGATAGGAAAAACTCATTGGATAGCCGTAACTAAAATTATTGCGGGCACAAAATAATAATAAGTTGCACTTTCTTGCCGTTGGTTTCGAACGATCTTCAAATGCTTGAGGCCGGCGTTTTCAATTATTTTGGTCCTAGTCAAAGTGTCAGCCTGTTAGGCTTATGCATTATCTATATTTAATAGTAAATTTAGGGCAAGTTTTCGAATTAATGATTTTTAAAATCCATTTTTTGTGCGGCAGATGGTTGCCAGCCACGAATCTCGGCGCACCCCACTAGCAAAATTTTACTTTCACTTCCGTGATCCATCTAAGTATCGCGGTGCCCCGAGCATAATTTTTTTAGATAGTTTCGTTAATGGTTTCTACAATACAGCACCGTAAAAGAATAAGATATCCCCTAAGAAATTTTTCGAGGCTTTCGAAAGTGCCGAAAACCAATACAAAAAACGAGGTTTTATGTATTTCAGTCTAATTAAAATTATACGTGCAAGCATTTGCTAGTTTTTATATATCAATCGATAGAGCAAAAAATGCTCTTCCGAATGCACCCCACTAATGCACCTGTCGTTGGAATTTTAGCAGATTAAAACCAGCGCGAAAGCGCGGCAAATACTTTCTAGCCACCCTGTACAGTGATTTGCATGTCCTTAGCACCAATCGGTGACCCTTAGGGAGTAGATAGCTATGGATGTTGAGATCATCGTAATTGGGCACAAGATGGCCGAGACATGGCCCCTTGAACTATGGCCCATTTCTCAGAACTCTTTAATCTACTAAAGGGGGATCCCATTAAAAACCCCCCCCTCTAACTCGACGCAGAAGTATCGGTTCGACGGTAGTTACACGATTCGAAATCCCTTAAAAGGGCGAGTTTGCAACAATTTTCAAAACCATGTTTTTATTTCAATGCGCTATTTTACAAACCATTTTGTAAATTTTCCGATTATTCGGAGTATACGAGCTATTTGCCTCAATTTCTCCAAGAGAAATGACCGGAAGTAGCCGTTAATTGGATTCAGAGGCCGTCCTCAATGCTTTTAAATGTGCTACAAAATGGCGCTGTTAAATAAAAACATCGATTCGAAGATGGCTGCAAACTCGGCGTTTCACGGGCTCTCGAATGGTATGACTATCGTCCCGATCCGATACTTCTGCGCCGAGTTAGAGGTGGTGTTTAATTTCACTTTTTAATTTGAATGCAGAATTTAGCTGAATTCCTGGTCAGTTGGGCGGGCGGGCAGACGGACATTAGAAATTTATACAGGGTGTCCGAAAAAAAGCACCCTTCCGGCATTTCGCCGCCTTACATCCAATCGGTCCCATACTTTGCACAAGGGTGTATCACATTATAAATAACCACAATCCTGAGTTATAGCCGGATCGCTACAGTAGTTTTCAAGTTATTGCCAAAATCCTATTTTCTTACGCGATTCTTAACAGTTTTTTCGACTATCTTTTTGGACTTTGCATCGATTTGCATCGACTTCCGGCTGCAAATCCCTAATTTCGCTTAATGTCAGGTGTTTCTTTGGGTTACAAAAATTGTTGAAATCAACGGTTATGTGATGAATTTTTATCAGGAAAATTTCCTAAGTCTAAAGAACGCTTGTCGCTTCGTTTTCATTTAATATTCAAATGGTTGATTCCGACGAAAACCTTATGAAAAACGGAAAATAAAGTTTGTTTTTGCTGTATTTCGAAAACTACTGTAGCGATCCGGCTATAGCTCAAGGTTGTGGTTATTTAGGGTCCAATACACTTCTCGTTTTATGGGACACCCTGTATAAATTTCTAATGTCCGTCTGCCCGCCCGCCCACCTGACCAGGAATTCAGCTAAATTCTGCATTCAAATTAAAAAGTCAAATTATGTGCGGGGATGTGAGGACCAGCGCTGGACATCTGCGTAGCGCTCGTCCCATACATTTTTTCAAAATCGGCTCGGCGCTTCCCAAAACTAGAGCGGCAATTTTTGGAACTTGTCTGTCAAATGTTTGGAAATGTATGGGGCTGCTTTGGTGTTTTTTTGTTAAGGTTTTTCTGCACTCCGATTCGCCTGAATTGAAACTCATGTGTTATTTCAGGCTACAGCCAAAGCCGAAAATATGCGTGCTGCCAAGGCCGCACTTTCATCGTACAATTTGGGGATGGAATCCGTAAAGTTATTTTCTCCACGGCTTTCCCATGCCATCCGTCCGAACTACAAAATTATGCAAAATGCTAAGACTCTTTACTTAGGTTTGCGGTCCTAAAAAACCATATGTACGGAGGCTGCAAGCTACGCACGAGGCGTACAAGAAGGTCGCAATGGAAACATTCCGGTAACCTCTCAAAGCAAAAATACGGGATGTAAAATACAGGCAGCGCCGTAACAAACCCAAATTTCGGGGGGGGGCGACCCCAAAAATTTTTCACTAATAGGACTAAAACTACAGCACCGCAGGCAAAATTTTTGAAAACATAGGGTTTATAACACTAAAACTAGTGTTAAAAATGGCCAAAAACAGCGCACAAGGCAAAAAAAAATTTTTGGAAGAATTAAATCATAAGGGTCCCCCCATATGAACTTTTCGGCCTTCGGCCGATTTCGGGCGGAGGGGGGCGGCTCGCCCCCTCGCCCCCGTTACGGGCCTGAATACAGGTGTCCCAAAAAACATCCCCCTCTAACTCGACCGAGTATATCAGAGTACTACCATGTAAAAGCCGTCGAAACGGCGAGCTCGAAACCGTCTTCATAACCAAGTTTTTGTTTGATGGTCTGACTTTTTGTTTTGTTTTGGGATGTAAAGTGACCAATTACCAGAGAGGTACACACAAGGAGGCGTTTTTAGGTGACATTGGGGATTTTTTGAGGAAGACCTAGCTAGCTAGTTCGATAGAGAAAAAATTCTGCGTAGGATGTCGTTTTTAAACCTGCAAACCATGTACGGGATTCGATACCGCCAACAAGCCAAAACCAGCAGCCCGATTCCGAAATTTCAGTGGTGGCATGATGAGCGAATCTCCTGTTGCCGAGGAGTTCCGTGTGGAACTGGAGGAGGACATTGAGGTCGATCGAATTCATTGTGGACCAGTCACATCTGCTTTAGACGGCCTACGGGCGATTTCATGAGCAGAATGAGCAGCGGAAACCCGTTTTGGAAAAAATAAAGCAATGCATCGGCGGCGTTTGGGACAAAATGCTTAATTCAGCAAGTTCGTACTACTCTTTTGCCGTATTTGTTTAGCCACGCCATTTAATATGATCCGGAGTCATCCCGTTGCGACCATCGCCACCGCAACCACGGCAACGGTAGGCGCTTGTGCACCTCATCAAAAACCAGCGGCCCATCAAATAAGTGCCTTTCCAAACAGGTCAGTGGCTGGAATCTATAGCCAGGGTTTCTTTGGAGCAGGAAATAACTGTTTGTGTATGTAACATTTTCGTTACAATCGATGATGGTGCAAATTTTCGTGGCATTCTGATTCGTCGCTTTTAAGATAAATATTCGGGGGTGCGAATTTTAATGCCGCTTGAAGGCCCGAAAATCAAAAACTATGCTAACATTAACAAATTAAGATATTAACAAAACTATTACAATCATTAAAAACTTTTGAAAACTCTGCAGCCCTGGTAATTCGACGACGGCGACAATCAAGGGTCGAAAAAAATCGTACGAAGTTCGTTCGGGAACCCGGGCAACGGCCTGGCAGGTGTGGTTTAGAAGGGTCCCAGGAGGATCACTAGTCCTAGTCGGTTGTAACGAAAAATTTTACACTACACACAGTTTCTTCCGGTACCAAAAGAAAACCCGGAATAAATATCCTGCTGCCGACCTGCGTGCAATGGCACTTATGTGGCGGACCGCTGGTTTTTCATGAACCGTATTTCTATCCCAAGAAAGTCAGTTTAGGGTGTGGTGTTCATAGCAGTTACAATTTTCATTACAAAGTTTATGAATCTTCTGTTCATCCTCTAGTTTGCTGATCTGGTTATCAATCATCTGGTAAGCTTGCTATCGAAATCTAATTAAATACGCTTAACGGGACCGTAGCGGGAGATTTTTTAAGCAAAAAGTGGCCGACCGGTGCCGGCTCCGTTTGAAATTTCCAATTGAAATTTTGGCATTAGGTTTGGAGTCAGTACAGGGTGACCAGTAGAAAGTGTATACAAAACTTTTACCTCTACAAATTGACAGAAGCTGAACCCAAGCTTTTCTGATGGATAAAACAAAAGATTAGGAGTTAGATCATCACATATTTATTGGGTTATAAGTTGGCTGCTCTGTGCTTCTGGATAGAGCTTCAGAAGGGAGGCTCATTATGAGGTCATGGGCCGCAGCTCCCACCGGCTTGCTATTGCAGTGTTAAAACTCAGTCAAAATTTTGTTGGGGCAATCAGCAGTGCATGGAATAATCTATTTCGATCGGAAACAATAGGAAGTAAGTTTCGAACCGTTCAGAATACTGAAATATCAAATCTAGATTTAATTTGACCTTTATTTGTAAAATGGGCGTGATTTATGGCGTTTGGGGCTCAAAAACTGGCGAAAACTGATTAAGGAGCTTATTGATGCTGATAATGTGGATCCGTATGCTAACAAGCATCTTTGGACAACATTTTGGGCCTCACGAAAGCTTTCCGCGACTTTTTACGAGCGAAACTAGTCTGAGCCTAGCTCAGCAGCCGATTTCTTGTTCCGACTAGGTCGCCGTAAAAAGCTTCGTGTCGAAAGGAATTGTGTCCAAAAATTTCCATAATTGTGTATGATATAGGCAGAAGCCTTCTTTACATTCTATCAAAATCTGAGCCCACTAAAGCACTCGGGTGCTTCAGGGCGTAACAAAGTATACGACTGGGAGTTGCGGCCTTCTGGCGAGCGTTTTCCTCGCATCGAGCAACATTTTGGAAGCTGTATTTTGCACCCAACTGAAGCTACCTTCAAAATCTGTTGATGCCTTGTTAGTATTACCGGTTTTGCTTACCTCCAATGAGCAAAAGGTTTAAAACAGTTTAGGAAATTTTTTATGGACATCGGGGTTAGCGGGCGGAGCCCGCTAACCCCTTTTGGTTTGAGATACCCCCCCATACGACTCTTTTGAGGTCCTTTTCCGGATTTAAAAAAGAACCACGCATCGGATCGCAAAACTGAATACACCATCGGAACCGGCGACACTTTTTACATACTATAAGCTTTTAAAATTTGAAAAAAAAGTATAATTTCGAATTTTAACAGCCGATTTAAATTGCGTTTCGAGGGGGGGTCTGCGTTTGTATGTGTGTGCGTACGCAAAACCTTTGTAGTCGTCAAAAAGTGCCTTCCCATAGTCCGTTTGGGCTGAAATTTTTTACATATATCGACTTGCCGTAAATGAAGGTGAGGAAGAAGCGTTTTTTTCAAATTAGGCTTTAAAAAAATTTATATTGAATTTTTAAGTTTAAAAGCTAAATTGGGGCCAAAACAAGGGTTAATGATGTCCGTTTGGGCTGAAATTTTGCTCAAATAGGAATTAGACCTTGCCGGAAAAAAGTAAAGAAGAAATTGGATCGAAAGAATGCTTCTTCTCTGAGATATTATAACTTTAAACCTTCGCCATACGGGGCGCCACCCTCCCCTTTGGTGGCCCCTGTCCCAAGATAGGGCGGGCGGCTCTAGCTTCCCCAAGACAGGCATCCAGTCTCCCCGTTGGCCTAGTGGTTAGCACGCTGTACTGGGAAGACTTGGCTCCCGAGTTCGAACCCCAACCGAAACATCGTTTTTGCCGATTGGCCCCCGTGCAACCGTATGGTTTCTAGTGCTGTTACAAAGCGCCGCAGGCAACTTTTTTTGAAGTTTTGCGTACAAGGGTTCATCTGAATAAGTATTCCGTGGCTTATTTTACGATCATAACAATAAGATTGAGGCAAAAAGGGCTAAATTCTCTCTAAGGTTAAAAAGAGTCTTTTCAAAAAAGGCTTTTGGTTTTCGCAAAAAGAGAAGAATTCTCGAGGCAACAAAAAGAGCTAAATTCCTTTCAAACTCTTAAAAATGCCACAAAATGTGGGATCAACCAAAAGTTGCTGGCACCTTATTAAATTACAGATCCAGTTTCTAGCGGTTTCGGCTTGCAAATAATTTCTGTACCAGCGGGGGAGGAGCCGCTTCGCGACTCTCCCCCGCTGGATCCCGTCTAGGCCCTATTAATCGAGCGCCCTTCCACATAAAGTTACCTTGAAGAAAGAAAAACCCATCTTCCATGCAAACCTCTTTGTATTGACATGCGGCGCAAGCTTGAAATGCTAGTCTCGTTATTAGGCCTGCGGTGCATGTTTGATCGGCGAGGTCGCTACCTCGTCCTGCGGCCCAAGCTGGAGGGATTAGCCTCCTTTTTTGGCCTGTGGCGCCAGTTTGAGCGGTTTGCTTCAAGATTAAGCCTGCGGCGCAATTTGAACGGTTACCTCCTTTTTGAAGCCTGCCGCGCTAGCTAGCTTGTGCGGCTAGCTTCGTTCTGAAGCCTGCGGCGCTAGCTTGTGCGGCTAGCTTCGTTCTGAAGCCTGCGGCGCTAGCTTGTGCGGCTAGCTTCGTTCTGAAGCCTGCGGCGCTAGCTTGTGCGGCTAGCTTCGTTCTGAAGCCTGCGGCGCTAGCTTGTGCGGCTAGCTTCCTTCTGAAGCCTGCGGCGCTAGCTTGTACGGCTAGCTTCGTTTTAAAGCCTGCGGCGCTAGCTTGTACGGCTAGCTTCGTTTTAAAGTCTGCGACGCTAGCTTGAGCGGCTAGCTTCGTTTTAAAGCCTGCGGCGCTAGCTTGAGCAGTTAGCTTGATTCTTTGGCGTGCGGCGCTAGCTTGTGCGGCTAGCTTCGTTCTGAAGCCTGCGGCGCTAGCTTGTGCGGCTAGCTTCGTTCTGAAGCCTGCGGCGCTAGCTTGTGCGGCTAGCTTCGTTCTGAAGCCTGCGGCGCTAGCTTGTGCGGCTAGCTTCGTTCTGAAGCCTGCGGCGCTAGCTTGTGCGGCTAGCTTCCTTCTGAAGCCTGCGGCGCTAGCTTGTACGGCTAGCTTCGTTTTAAAGCCTGCGGCGCTAGCTTGTACGGCTAGCTTCGTTTTAAAGTCTGCGACGCTAGCTTGAGCGGCTAGCTTCGTTTTAAAGCCTGCGGCGCTAGCTTGAGCAGTTAGCTTGATTCTTTGGCGTGCGGCGCTAGCTTGTGCGGCTAGCTTCGTTCTGAAGCCTGCGGCGCTAGCTTGTGCGGTTAGCTTCGTTCTGAAGCCTGCGGCGCTAGCTTGTGCGGCTAGCTTCGATCTGAAGCCTGCGGCGCTAGCTTGAGGGATTGCCTGAATCTTTAGCCTGTGGCGCTAGTTTCAGTGCTTAGCTGGATTCGTTAGCCTGCGACGCAGTTTAGAGCGACTGACTTCAGAATAGCGCCTCCCTACAGGAAAACACACTTCGAAACATGCATTCCGAGCATAAAGCAAAAAAAATACGAAAGCCGGGGATCGAACCCCCGATAGCAAGATTGGCAGGCTGACGCTCTAACCACTATACCATGAAATGCTTGGGAGTGCGCGCGCAACACCCCTTGTATGCCCCGAGGTGACTGCCGAGAAAGGGGAGCCAAGGCAATCGGAGGCAGCTCCAATCGGGCAGCCAAACGCGCGAGTGCAACTGGCAAGAATGAGGAAATTTGTATTTTCTCGCATTATGCAAATTAGCCCTCAGGGACCCCCAAAAATGAATAAAACCGGCCTTAACTTTGTAAACTTGTATTTTATCGAAATTCTGAGAACGCCATCGGAAACAGAAGGGTCGATTCCCCCGGGTGACGGAGAATTAGGGCATTTTGGACACGGGAAGGCCCTCAAATCGGGTCTCGAAAGTGACATCCACACACACACACACACATACGCGACCAAATTATATAAGGTGGGATTATGATCTATTTGCACTTTCTTGAAATTAATCTGTGGACCTGACCTCTGATCTGAGATGATACCGAGTTTATTAAGATTTTAAATAGCCAGCAATTTTTTGTTGTTCCCGCATTTTGTGGCATTTTTAAGAGTTTGAAAGGAATTTAGCTCTTTTTGTTGCCACGAGAATTTCCATCAATATCGAGTTGTATACACTTTCAACTGGTCACCCTGTATATGCCCTGTCCCTGAAACTGCCCTTTAAAGACCGTCAGAACTCTGGAAGGGAACGGTGCGCGAACAGTGCGCGCTTTTGGCAACGCACGGTTCCAATTTGCGTTTGGTTCGGGTGTCCTTTTGGTTTGCCACCCTCGGGGTGACAGCGCGCGTTCCATCGTTCTGACAGTCTTTAAAATGTCCAAAACGACAATTGCTCTAAGCGAGAAGTTGCCGCACTAAACGTTAGAAGGCTAAAAAGGTATTAGCAGGTCAGTGGAAAAGCTGTTCTATATCCGCATTGCTTGCCTATCCCGTGGTCTTCTAAAACAACCTATGCTGCCGATTGGGGCAATTGTCGCCGGGGCAATGGTCGCTGGGTGACAAATGTCTCTGGGGCAAGTGATTTGAGGCTTCTGTCACCCTCCCCGCCCCCATTCTGGCTTATTAGTATAGTTTTTCCGCCCCAATTTCTGACTGTTCCAGCAATGACGAATTTACGATCTGCTATGTTCTACAACGCTTTGAACTTTGAAATGTTAACGGCTTCAGTCGTGCAATGTTGATTATTGGCCGTTTTCCGCCTACTGGAGTACTTGAGTATTTAATAAATACTTTTCTATTTATGCATATCGCATGCAGATATTTATGTATGTATGTTTATGTATTTATATAAAAAACGACAAGACTCATGTCGAAAATCGAGCTATCTACGATTGTAGCCGCCCGGCAAATTTATACGATCTAAAATCTCGGCGACAGGACTCAGCTTCCAACCTGATATAAAAGGGAAAAATTAGTCAATCTGCTCGTGTAAGTAAAAAGATGGCTGAAGCTCGTAAATAAGAAGCAATTTAGCAAACGTGTTGGTCCGTCACGTGAATAATAATTATCATCAAAAGGTTATCAAGTCATAGTTTGTCCTTTTCGACGAGGCGTCAAGAAGCGTCCCGCGATTCTCACGTCGATTTGGCTTTGCCCCCCGCCATCAACTGAAAAAAAATCATACTGTCCACAAAAACCCGGGACCAACCTTTGTAGCGCGACGCACACAATACAGCCCAACACGAAAGAGCAAGTAGAGCAAGACAATAAAAAATATGATTTTGATCATATAGCGCAGCATCGCTAAATTCTTCAATCAAAGTGTTTTTGGGAAGCTCACATTGGTCAGAGCTGACTGATGATCCCAGCCCTAATTCCACACTGCCACGCCACAGCGCCTGGATTGCGGCGCCCAACTGAAATGCTTACGCAAGGCCGCATAAATTTTACATTTTGAACGATGTTCCAGCAGAAATACGGATAGACGAAGATGGTCCGCACCAGAATGACGCCAAAGATGAGTAGCAAAATATACAGACACCCTAAATCGAGATACCAGTCAGGTATCGAAGAAATTACATGAAGAGATGAGCGCCGATAACGCCTGTAAGAACATAGTTCCCACCAGGATATTCTTCAATTCATTGACCTCCATCAGTTTCGCGTAATCTTTCTAAAAGGGTGCTGAAAATTCGCTAACGTTCAACCCACTTCAATGGACTTCTCTAGATCGATAAGGTATGGTTTGCTGTATTCGGCGTTACCTAGCTTTGGGAAGGCCCTGAAAATAGGTCACCAAAGAATTTTCCCCCCGATTTGATTTGACCTGATTTGATCCTCGCTGGATTTGACCGGCAGGTGCCGAAAATTGCCGCTTTATTTTTGGACGCGCCGAGCGGCTTTTGACCAAATGTATGGGATTTTGAGAAAAGTTCTAAGAAATCGTCCAAATTTCAAAGGCCCATATCTCGGCCGTCCAGTGTCCAATTTTGATGATCTCAAGATCTATCGATATCTACTCCTCGAGAGCTATCGATTGGTGTTAAAGGTATCGTATGCAAATCACTCTATGCAGAGACAACTTGCAAAAACACTTTCGTCCAATTTTTCCAAAAACTTCTTGGGCCCGTATCTCGGTCCTCCTCGATTTTGGCGGGCTAGGACCCTCCTCCCGAAACGGTTCAGGAAGAGAGCTACAAGATGACATATCGCATGTGCAGAATGGAGCTAACTACGATTTTAGACAGCCTTCCAAAATCCCGGCGATAGGACTTACCTTCCAACCTGATAGAGCAACAACAATCGACTAATTGTAAGTAGAACACCTGGAATCTTCAGTGTCGCAGAAAAAAGCTGACAACTAAAACAAATAAATTATTTCGAGGAAACAATTTATGCAAAATATATCACAGTCACGTTGCGAATCAATTTGTTGTACTAGAAATAGTGAGACACACAAAGAAATGAGATCATAGTCGAGGGAATTAGAAACAGGGAAAAGTATTTGGACCCAGAGAAAGAAGAGGTGATTTCGATTTGGATTTCGATGTCTTCCGAGTCGGAAACTGGATCTTCGCGGACCCAGAGGGCGCGGAAATTCGCATCTTTTCGATGTGATAATCTGAAAAATTAGACTTTACACCGAATTACGGTAATATTTAAGTATTTCTAGGGTTAGGGCAATCAATTACGCCATGTAAATGCGATGAAACTTACAAAACGTCGTCCTCCTTGACAGCCTTGATGGAATATCCTCGTTGTTCAAGGAGTGTGATGATATTCTTTTCGCCGATGAAATGACCTGATTAAAGGGATAGTAAAGCCAAAAAGGGTATGGCTTACCGGTGCCTAATGCCGCGAAAAAGTTGGTTTGACCACCGGAAGTGATCAATTTATCGATACGGGAAGCCATTCGGACATTTCGCTTCACGAGAATGTCGTCTTTTAGGAGACGGTCGATCTGAAAACAGTAATTTGTCATTTTTAACATTCCAATAAATTTATTGAGTATAAAATTAGCTTTAAAGACCGTCAGAACGAGAAACCCATGAAAGCAGAAGGCGCACCGGGGGTCAAACCGGATGTTCTCGCCCACAGTCCAGCGCTAGCCACTAGACCACAGGGCAAGTGGGGAGGGGAGTGGGCGTCCAAAACCCCAGAGGGCCTGTGCCCAATACGGGGCACCGCTAATGACGCCTATCTTCGCGCGTGCTTGGGGGCCCCACCCTTGGGGTGACAGTGTGCGTTCCAGAGTTCTAGCAGTCTTTAATAGGCAATCGAAAAATCCCCATACCTCCCTCGCCCTCTCAATATCCGTTTCGTTTAAAATCTGCCCGTATCGATCTCGGGTGTCAGATTGGAACACATCTTTTTCAAGGCTTCCACACTCGTAGCTTCTGAAAATATTAGAATGACCATATTTTTTCGTATTTTCATTTACCTAACAATATCATGCGTTCTCCTCGGTCGGTCCACTTTTAATACCGGATTTTTTCTAATCTCGAGTTGGTATTCGAGGTATGAGAGGGTGTAGTTGATGGCGAAGACCAGCTGAAAAATGGCTGTAAAATAGTATAAATCTGTTTTCTTTTATGATTTGTAATTTTTTTTAGTTATGAGTTACAGGGCAAGCTAGCAGTTAAAAATGTTTATTGTACAAATATTTGAATAATTATAACAAATTTCGGGCATTTCTTAAATTTTTAGTATTGAAATTTCGCAGCTTCGGGACCCCTAACAAGCTAACAACGAAGGTGGTTCCCTAAATGTTGGGGAACGCATCGGATTGTTCGGGTTGTTCGTGGCAACAATAGGAAGCGTACTCCCCACCCCTCGACACCCCCAAAATGGCACATTTCATATTCTATGAGGCAGCCAGCCCCGCAAAGTGGTGCCGAATGGACCAACGGACGGGTACTCGGGGGTTTCCATTGGAGTGTTCCGGACTTGAAAATGGGTGGCTGAACTGGAAATCCAGGATTTTAGATTATAAAAAACTGCTAAGATTGCCATGAATTGGAAATCAACTAATTGGAAATGGTACTCTGGCTGGCCAGTTAGCTAAATGAGCGAAAATTACCTTATTTTAGCAAAATTAAATTTTTAATGGTATTTTTTGGGGTTATGTGCTCGAACTCTGCTTTCTGACAGCCAAACATCTTAAAAAAACTAGTGATAAGTAGCTTTCCCCTTATTTTTAGCAAAACCCCCTCAAAAACGCACGAGATCCCGGTCACCCGTCGTTCTGTATTTGTTTTGTGTGGTGATGGTAGGGGGGATAGGTGAGAACACGGTGTCAGGTCAGTCAAATAATAGGATCTCTATTCAGATATGGATATTTGACTGACAGAGAGGCCAACAAATAGACAAACAGACAGACAGACTGACTGACTGACATGCGTACACATTCATTAACACCTCGGGCCGGAAGTTGGTATGCAAATTGGGAATTTGGCCTAGAGCAAAATAGCTATTTTTGCGATTTTTCTGTAATTTGAACCCGTTTAAATATTAAAAAATTAGGCTATGAAAAATCTATAAACATAATTTTAACTTTTATGAAAGTTTGGCGTTATTTGCTTTTGAAACAAATCTAACTGACCTGTTCCTCGGACAACGATTCCACGGGGTTGCATTGCTAAAAATATTGATAATTAAGATTTTTTTGAGAGTTACAGTACCTCCTGAGGTGTCTCAATCGAATAAATCTCTTTCCCCGAAGCCACGGCCAATTCTGCCAGAAAAGCGTCGAGCATTTGAGATTCTTCCCTGTCGATTCCGGCCTCGCAAAGTTGATACAAGACGAAAAGGAGCCATTCCGGGCGACGACGATCCCAGCCTCCTAAAAATAGATAACTCATGATTCTTGAAAACCATCGATTTTTTGAAGTCTTTGAAATTTTTAGACATTTAAAATTCCTTTAAAACCGGATTTTTTGTTATTAATATAGCCGCTCTTTTAAGTTTTTTTAAAGTTGGCTATAGCCGAAAATTTAAGCTGAACCAAGCCTATTAAAAAGGACAACCTGAACTTACCAACGACGTGGTTAAAATTCGTCACAACGCCTTTTGCGTCTTCCAAATCGTCCTTTTCACGCAGTAAACTGATCAGACGACGTCGATAATTTGCAAAATCTAATAAATCAAGGCTCCAAACTACAAATTCAACCCACATTTTTGTAACCTGGTATGCAACTCATTGCCCAGATATTGTAGACTTGTCCTGGGTTTCTTCAAATTTTTGCATTTCATCAGACGGCGGATCGTTTGTTCGTCTTGCAGGTCGACTTCCACAAAAACTGATTCGGAGCGTTCGAAAGCTTCTTTGACGCGATCGGATACTAAAAATTTAGTTTAAAATTGACTATGACGCGTTCTTAACTTTTCATAAATTTAACTACACATTATAAAACTTTAAAAAAAAAAAATCTATATTTAGGCTCAAAAACGCGTATTTAAAGATTTTTTGGATAGTTTCTGATTATTTTTTATTATTGGATAGCGGTAGTTCACCGAGTTTTTCTGTTTTAAATCTACCGTAATCGGGACAGATTTTGCAATGTTTCTAGCACGCTCTTAAATTTTAAGCATAATTTATACGCCATAAAAATCAACATATGAGGCGTAAAAACGTGTTTTTGAAGGGTTTTCAGGGTTAGTTTAATTAGTAATGATTATATAGCCGTAAGATACCGTATTCCACTATTCTGACCAACGACCAATCTGTTGACCCTTCCCATTGCTATGATGTGTCCAAACATTCACCCCTGGAGGGCCCAAAATGAGGGCCAATTTGTTGTTCAATGAGGCATCTGCTGATTTGCAACCACAGCAAGCGGCACCTTATACATAGAATTGGGGGATTGGAGGGGAAAAGAGGTGCCAATTAGGGAAATGGACAGACTGGCAGACAGACAGACAGACAGACAGGTGGTCGTCATCAGGAAATTATAGACTGACTGACCGGCCTGGGGAAGGGGGTACGGTAAGTTCATTTGGGGCCAAAAAGAGCGATTTTTTGAGGTGGATTCGTCAGCTTTTTGATAACATAAATTTAAATAAACTTAAACTGGCAGGCAATTTGGCAATCTGTAAGATTTCTGGGCAATCTAGTAGAGATCCTTTAGGAAAATCCGGAAAAATGGGCGAAAATTGCTCAGAGAAGGACTAAAATTAGGAAAAATCCAAAAAATTGGACGTTTTGAATGTGTGTGAATTGTAAAATTTGTCGTTGAAATCCTAAACTGACCTCTATCCCATATCCTGGTGTACGGTACGTGGATGGTGCCAAATAGAAAACCGAGTTGACGGCCGGATGGACCGGTCACTTGCCAGAGAAATAGGTTCCGTTCGCTCTGAAAATTTCAGATAAGCCACCATATAGCCTATTTGCATTTTAAAGTTTGATCTGAACCCCAGTATACCCAAAAATTTAAGTTTCAGGCTTACCTGTAGACATTCAGCCGAGATCCGGTCCGCCAATACGGTAAAAATGATGAAAAATTGAGGAATCCATTGCATAATTGATGACGATCACGACATTTGAGCGTTTTTTGTTTCTAGAGATGTTTGAATTGGACCCTTCTAAACATTGGGAAGAACATTTTGGGGGAACATAGACATCAAAAAAAGGAAAAGCTGAGAATGAAGAATTGTGGGGCCAAGATCCCCTAGGGATCGTTTAGCTGGCTGCCGGCCAGCAAACACCTGTGTCAATGTTGAACGAAAAGAACCAAGATAGAAATGTATGAAAATTAAACTTATACCAACTGGCTGCCAGTTTGCCTGAATCCAAATTCTGGTGAAAAACTGGAGCACGAACAACGAGTTTGAGCTCAAACTTTGCCAATAGCCCATCGGCCGCGCAAAAATCGCATTTTCAAAGTAAAAATTTAGCCAATAAAATTTTATGGGCCCCAATTTTTAAATAACGTTAACTGCTCATGGTAGTTTACACGAATTCGAACTTCTGAGACAATCTGGAGCACGAGCAAGGAGCTTGAGCCCAACTTTGCCAATAGCCCGACTTGCCACCAGATTCGAAGAAAGGCAAAAAAATCGGATTTCAGCAGTCAGCTTAAAAGTCAGGAGCTTCTAACATTAAATTTAAATTAACTGGCTGGCAGTTTAAATGAAAACGAATTTTTGAGCCAATCTGGAGCAGGAGCAGCGAATTTGAGCTCGACTGACTGCCAGATCTTCAAATTTGAACCGGCTGAGCGAGTTTTCGCTTGGACCTTGAGAAAGAGTGGGCTGGGAATAGGTGTGAAGGGGGGGTATGAATCTGTGAGGTGTCGAGGTATAGCCGAAGGGTATTTGGGGGAGGTGAGAAGGGGAGTGGGAGGCCGGAAGGAACCAACTGGGGACGGAGGAGGAGGAGGAGGTGCCCCACCGCTACCCACACGCGATCCCGATTCATCTTCAACCCCGATTTTGGGGATGTTTATCTAGATGAGTGGTAATAAATTCTTGGGATATTTTAACTGGCTAGTATCCTATCCATTAAAAATATAGCCTTCAAATTTGAGTAAAGGTAAATTTTTGGATAAAGCTTTCAGAGATTTTGCACTCATTTTGGTAATTTCTTGGCTAAAAAATGATGTGTTTATTTTTCCATCTTACCAAAGCTAATTAACCTTTTAAGCTTGTTATCTGACATCCATTAAGTACGGTATAACGATCCAGACTTCATTTAAGAAGACACAGAAGCTAAACGGGGAGGAGTAAGTCCCGATAGAATGGCCCATTGAGGTCGATGAGGACAAGGGAGCTGACAAACATACTGTCTGTCTGTCCGTCTTTCTGTCTTTCGCTCCACTGTATTTCTGTCCATTCTATGCCTTCTCCTTCTTGTTCTCGCCGTGTGAGAAGGATATGAGGATAGAGGGAGAGGCCAAGAAGACAATGAGGTACACGTATTGACACACAAATACCCACAGCAGCACTGTCTCTAGCTTCAATTCTACCCCCTCAAACAGTATTAGGAGCGCCAAATGGAGAACAGCAGACAGAAGGAATATAGGGTCAAGTGATGGATTAAAATTATATATTTGCATTAATGCACGGCGCGAAAAACCGCGAGAAATCTCGAAAAGTGTTTTTTTTGGTTTTTTGGGTCATGAAACATTCAAAAACTGCCATATAATTTCGTAATTTATTATCAATTATAACGGCATCAAAATAGAACTCGTAAAACCATTACAATAAGGCACAATTAATCACATAAAATATGCAAATTTCCGGGCTTCTGGCGCGCAGAAAGTGAAATTTTGGAGAGGTCAGGGCAAAGAAGTGTTTATAAAGTCTGAGCAAGGGGGATTATCGTGTACGTTTACATACTCTAAACATTAGTGGTGTCTGGCCGGAAAAAGCCGAGAACTAACCGAAAAATATGAGGAAAGAGAAGGATGAGGTGGAGAACGAACAATGGAGCGGGCCAATATTGAGCACGGTTGAATGGATGATGATAGCTGGGGGCAGAAGTGAGGGTGAACAGGTTGAAAAAACTGGGAAAAGTAGATTTTAATAGCATTTATAAACGTGTCTAACTTTTCAGCAGCATAAAAAGTTGTTGCAGTTTTTAAAATTTTACGAAAAATCAAAAATTCAGGGGTTAAGTTCTTTCAAAAAGGAACTTTAAAAAAAGAGACTGCTGATTTTCTTGCCAAACTGATCTCAAGATTTTGTAAAAAAATAGTCCGAATTACGATTTAAATTAAAATGACCCAAATGAAAAACTGAAATGGCTCAATGGCCAAAATTTAGAAAATCTGGGGCCAAAATGAACCAATAAATTTTCCAAAGCAAAAAATAAGGCTTTGTGCCGCAACAGACCAAAAAATTCCCGCAAAAATGACAATCCACATCCGTTCAAAATCGGCTCCAAATATTGCTAATACTAGGCCCCCTAATAGCCATGTTTAGCGCTAAATACTACTCTAACGTGTTTGGCCCGAGGGCATGTTTTAAGAGTTTGCCAAGACAAGGATAATTACACCTGGTTGACACCTCAAATAGCAGCAAATCGGGGGTCTTTAAAGGGACCGGGAAGGCAATAGGAGGCAGATAGAAAGAGAGAAAGAGAGAGAGAGAGAAAGAGAGGGGATCTGCCCTCGGGTCATCTTGACTTTTTGAGGGCCACAGGGGGGGAGTGTAGGACAATGGGCTTTGTCTCTCTCTCTAGTAGATCTCGCGGGTACACCTGGTCCATTATAATAATCTATGCAAATTGGGGACAGACTGTCGGGGCGGGGAAGGGTAACGAGCAGAGATTTTTGAGGAAAAATACCGCAAAAATATTTTTCCAAAATTGCAAAAATTAAACTGACATCCAGTTAAACCAAACAAAATTCACGAAATCACAAAGCAAACCAAAATGTTTACGATAGCATATTCAAATAATTAGGTGCCTAACAGAAGAGCGTCCAGAGGAGTGTAGCGTTGTCACCCTCTATCTCTCGCTCTCGGTGTCTCTCTCTAATTGATTTTCTCACGTCTACGTCCAATTCTCCTCATTCTCCTCGATATGGTCGAGTGGAGGTGGAGAGTCATTGTAGGTCTCAACCGTCTCGATATCTTCCCTTCTCAATTGCTGAAAATCATGTTCGTAGTTTGTGGTTTCGATTAATTGCTTGCCTTTGGCACATTCTTCTTTTGTTTGGCGTTGTTGTGGAATTCGGGGTGTTCGAAGAATGATGGGTTATGGTAGGCAGAGGCTGCAAAATAATGTTGCGTAATCGAATCTAGCTTTTTGAGTTCATATAATAGTTATAAAAGTTCCAGAGGTTCGGGTTTTTAATTTCATCGATATATTTAAGTGCTTTCAATAGCTTAAACAACTGGAAAAGTTCCAACAATTCGAGTTCTCATTTTGTAATACACGGCGTAATCAATTGGGAAAGCTTTGAAAAAAACTCCGTTTTTTCAATTTCAATCGATTACATCGCGTAATAGATTGGCAAACCTGCCAAAAACGATTTTCCGAATTTTATTGACATTTTCCTACCTTTACGATGTTTTCCGAAACCAACTCCGTGTTGAACGGATGTTCTTCGGCCATACGCTTCGGCCAGTTGCTCGAGATTCACTAAAAAAAAATATTATTTATTCAAATAAACTGCTAAACTTAAGTTATGTAGTATTTCGTATTTTTAACCGAATTATAGTTGGGATAATTAAAATTCCACCTACTTTCAGTATGTGCACTCATCGTCCTCGTCCTCTGACTATGTCCTCGTTGTGTTTTTATCTGCTCAAAATCATCCCATCCGTGTCCATAGGCGTGCAGCGGATAGGCTGCCTGAAAAAAATATTTTATCGAATGAATTCAAATTTCATAAATTTATTTTTATTTATTTTAATCCATCTCATTATTTGAAAAATTAATAATCAATGATAGTTTAAATTTTTTACGAAGTTTTCAACTCCTCTTTCGAGCGATCACACATCGGACCACCCACCGATTCTATTTTCTCCGTTTTGGCTTGATAATTTTCACCACCCATTTTTTTTGCGCCGCCTCCCTCTTCTAATCCCCTCTTAAACTGTTCAATTCCAGCTTGATCTGATGGGGGTCAGTTTTGATGGTTTGGACAGCCCCGAAAAAGGCCCAATTCCATTTCACACCTGATAACCCATCAATCACCCAACCCAGGAAAATGAGGAATTTGAACGTTTTTTGAGGTCCATTGTTTCTCAATTCGCTCCAAAGACGCAAAAACTTTTTGCAAAATGCAAATTGTCAGACAGAAAAGGTTTTAAAAAGAGAAAACGTAACTAAAATTACTTTGGGATGAATCAAGGCATAAGAAGCGGCCAAACTGACCTCTCCGTGCTTATAGATATCGAGACCCTTTGTTTCGACTTCGGCTGTGACTCGGAATCGATTGATCTGTAAGAATAAAGCGTCTCTGTTTAAAAAGCGCCCAAATAAAATCCAAAAAATCTAATTCACCTTTTTCAAGAACAAGAAAATTGGTGTCATCCAAAGAAGTGACCATAATACAATTGCTATCACGCAAACGCACTGCCAGCCCAGTTGCTATAAAAAAAATTCCCATACAAAATATAAATAAATATGAACAAAAAAATAAAGCTCATTTTTCCAAAATTCAGTTAAGAAAGGACCAAAATGACTCACAGCAAAAGCTCGTCCAACGGATGGTTCAGCACCCTTTCCAGACATCACATTTGCAATTCCGTAGGCAATACCATCATGGGAGATGATAGCTGTTGAGATTAATCCCCAGCTACCCCCACCGGCATGAACGGCAAATGCATCAAGTGGGTCGTCGATTTTTAGTCTAAAAAAATAATATTGATAATCGATAGTTACGAGATTATAGATTTTTCTGTCCGTTTTTGCTGCGATTTGGCAACTCCCGCGACACGCAACTTGCGACGCGCGCGCCACGTACAGCCGTTTCGAGGGTATTAATAGGCTACGCAACGAGGCTGGTCTGCGCGTTGCTTGTCGCAAAGCGGCTAAATCGCTCAATCCAATGGCAGAAAAACAGGTTTTG